TGGTCTATTCAGCACTACCGAAATGGAACTCTCTGAGGACTGAGACAGACCAGGTCTGGTTGCTGCTCCACCACCCCCTGAACCCATGGTCCAAGTTGAAGTAGGGGGAAAGGTTATGGACTTCTTAGTAAAGACAGGGACTGAACACTCAGTGGTAACCCAACCCATAGCCCCAAAAACAGAAAGACTAGTTAACATTGTTCGAGCTACTGGAACAGTGACCTGCCAAACCTTGTCAGCCCAGGAAGTGCACCGTAGGGAACCAGCCAACAATGTGTAACTTGTTGCAAAAATAACCCTTGCCAGCATCCCTCGCCACCTCCTGGCATTCAGTCTGTGGGATCAGACCTTTTGAAAACCTGGCAGTGGACTTAACCGAACTACCTAGTAGTGGGGATTACCGTTATCTCCCATGAGTGGTGTGCACGTATTTGGGGTGGGTAGAGGCCTTCCCCACCTGCTCGGAAAAAGCCAGGGGGGTAACACGAGTACTGCTGTGGGAAATCATTCTGATATATGGCCTCCCCCTATACTTGGGGTGAGACAAAGGACCAGCATTCATGGCAGAAGTGCTGCAGGAAACAGCTCACATGTTGGGCATAAATTAGAAATGGCATGCTGTCTATAGGCCCCAGAGATCAAGCGAAGTGGAATGCTTGAATGGGACCATAAAAACTGTACTCAGCAAATTATGCCAGGAAACCTGTTTAACTTGGCCGCAAGCCCTTCCCCTAATATTATTAAAAATTAGGTGATCCTCGCAGAAGGCTATAGGATATTCCCCCATCAGTCCTTTTCGCCAAACCCCCACCCTCCTCCATTCTATGTCTGGGACCCCTGGAGAGAGAGATGAAACGGAAATCAGTAATAAATTAAAAACTGGAACAGTTTCAACACAAATATCCAAGTAAGTAACGGAAAGACTCCCTATAAGTCTTTTCACTTCTATACACCCATTCCAACCTGGGAATCAAATGTGAGTTAAAGACTGGAACCTGATCCCCCTCCTCCTCCATGGAGGGACCCCTTACTGTCATTCTAACTACCCCGTGGCAGACAGGGTTAAAGGTATCACCTCATGAATTCATCACTCCAGAATTAAAAGGACTACATCTAACAGCTCTAACAACTCTTGGGAAATCGAAAGCCACCCCCTGAACCCTCTGAAGGTATCTTTGCAACATGAGAACTGCAGCTCTACAGTGCCTTGCTCCAGTCACTCCATGGGCTGACTGGTCTACACACGGCTAAAGCCTGAGGACCTGCACTCACGTACAATGACTTTCCTGGAACTCATCACCCTACACCTTGGACTTTGCTCATTTTCCCCCTTGCCTGTTAACTTCTATCTCTCTTGATCCAGGCACACAATGTATCAAAACAACCCATTCAGGCTCCAGGGTCACAGAAACCCTGATATAGCATTCATATTACAGTTTTCAGGGAGAGATCTCCTCTTGGTGAACATAACCTCCTTGTAATCACAAGTTACTAACCAGGCCTGGGAGGCCCCAAATGAGTTATACTGGATCTGTGGGAGTAGAGCTTACGCTAACATTCCTTGGGGTTGAACAGGTACCTGCACCTTCGGAACAATCTGCCTCTCATTTTTCTTCCTACCTCTACAAAAGGGAGAAACTTTTGGCATACCTGTATATGATTCAGCCAGGTCCCAACGAAACATGAAAATAGGGGAGTAGAAAGATACTGAATGACCTCCTGAAAGAATTATTCAGTATTATGGCCTGACCACATGGGCAGAGGATAGAAGTTGGGAGTACCGAACCCCAATTTATATACTTAACAGAATCATTAAATTACAAACAGTGTTAGAAATAATCAGCAATGAAACAACCGGGCTCTTAACCTTCTGGCCAAACAACACACACAGGTACCAGCAGCCATATATCAAAATCAACTGGCCCTGACTTACCTCCTGGCTTCAGAGGGAAGCGTGTATGGAGAATTTAACCTTATTAACTGCTGTCTAAAAATAGATGATGAAGGAAAAATCATTGAGGAAATAGGAGAATTCAAAAAATAACTCTCATCCCTGCCCAAATATGGAAGGGATGGGCTGCAGATGAATAATTTAATAATAAACTAACTAACTTTGGAAACTTCAAAACTATGACAGGTGTAGCAGCCCTATTTTTACTCCTTATAACAGTCCTCCCCTGTGTACTGCCTATGGCCTTGAAATCTATTAATTCAATCATCAGAACTGTGGTAGAAAGGAAAACTTCCTCTCATATACTATAACTTCATAGGTATAAACTATTAAACCAAAGTCTGGAACAGATTATCCAGGAAGAAAGTGAAGCTCCTTAAAATTCAAACAGAATGAAGGAGCTTCAAAGGGGGGAATGAGGCAGGCCACACCCAGTTTTGAGAAAATGAAATGGAAAGCCCCTGATAAGTACTCCCTTCCTCCTGCTGCCCCCAACAGGCACTCCCTCCCTCTTGCTGCCCCCGACAGATACTCTCTCCCTCTTACTGCACTTCCTACTTAAGTAAAACTGCTCTGCTAGCGTTTTTCAGAAAAGAAATCAACCACCATATACCCCGTGTACCCCAAAAACATACAAAAGGCCTGTGTAACCTTTGTTTGGGGCTCAGTTTCTGGATGTGAATCCACTGAGCCAAGTGTTGACAACATAAAGTCCTTCCTTTACCCCATCCTGCTCAGTGTTAGCATTTCCCTTGGCAGCTCCAGCAACACAAATACTGCCCTTCTGTTCTCCCACAATTGATCAGGAGTGAGTTCAGTTCCATACCTGAAGGGTGAGTAGGGGCCATATTCTCAGGGGTCTCACCGGGCTCTATCAGACCAGCAAACCTGATTTTTTCTTCTTTTTTTTTATGATTTTGAGTTTTGTTCTACATTGTTCTACTCTATACAAGATCTCCTGCACTGATCCCCCTCTGAGTGGTTGACAGTGGTAGCTGGGCACTATCTAGTTCTTCTGGTCTCATAGGCATTGTTTAAGTATTAGTCAACTTGATTTAGCTGGTTAATTTGCCTAGTATATTTCTGTTACAGAAACGAACACATCCTAACTTAATGGGTTAAGTTATCCAGCTGAATTTCACATTTGATTTGATCCCATGTTTACAATTTAAAAAAATAATAATGATAATTTAGCATACTAAATAGCTTTTCATGCTGAACAAACGTACTTGTGGGCGTATTTGTGTTCCACCACATATGAGAGGTTGTGTTGTTTTTTTTTTGTTTTTTTTTAAATTAAATCTTGTGATGTGGGTGATGAAAGTTATTTTTATTGTGTGTGTACGTAATGCAAATTTCCCCATATACATGCCAGTCTCTTCAATTATTGTTCTTCACTGTGGGATGAGTAAAGAAGACTGACCTGCTGGGGAGGGCCAGAAAAAGGTAGATAATTGCCTCTCTTTGAAAATAATGAAATAGGCAATTAAAAAGAAATTTTTTGAAACCAGTGATAATCTTATTTTGAGAAATGTATCTACTTGTGAATATAATGTTACTTTTGAATTCTTTTAGAGTTGTATGTTGGGAATTTGGTGCAATTTTTATTTTAAAAAATTTCCTTGCAAGGTTATAAAGATTAATATTAATATTATGGACCTTATGGATTATAAACAACAATTTTTACATTTGTAAGTCAGAGAAATTTATTAGCATTATCATGTTGTGCAACCATTGCCACTGCCAAATTCACTGCTGTCGAGTCAATTCCAACTCATAGCAAACCCCTTTGGGTGTCTGAGTCAGTAAATCTTTATGGAGGTAGATTGCCCAGTCTTTATTCTGAGGAGTGCCTAGGGGGTTTGAACTGCCAGCCTTCTGGTTAGCAGTCAAATGCCTTAGGCACTACACCAGTTACCTCTGTGTGTGTGTGTATGTGTGTGTGTGTGTGAATGATTTGGGTGAATGTTTACAGACCAAATTGGTTTTCTATTCAACAATGCATACACATTCTGTTTTGTGACATTCACTACCATCCCCACACTATAACAGCATTCTTCCCACTTCCTCCCTGTGCCCACCCCATCCCTTCAGCCTGCCTTTCCATCCCCTCCTGGCTTCCTAGCTCTATCCCTGGGAAAATGCTATCCTCTTGATCTCACATGCTTGATTGTTCTAATAAGTGTGCATCCTCCTGGTATTACTCTTCACCTTATAGGTCTGTCTGTGGTTTGGCTGAAAGTTGAGTCACTAAGGTTAAGTTCAGGTCCTAGCTTGATGGGTCTTAGACAAGAGCCATAGTAGTCTTGGGGTTTCCACCAGTCTTCATCAGACCAGTAAGCCTGGTCTTTTTTTTTTTTTTTATGATTTTGAGTTTTATTCTGCATTTTCCCCCACTTTTTCCGATCTCCTGGAAAAAGCAGGAGTCAGCAATTTCAGCTGGCTCTGCTTTCAGAGCAGTCAGCAATTGTAGCTGGGTGCCATCTATTTCTTCTGGTCTCAGGGTTGTGGAGGATAGGGTTCATGTCATCCATTATTTTTCACTCTTACTTGTTTTGGACTGGGAAAGACCAATAGTTGTATCTTAGATGGCTGCTCACAAACTTTTTAAAACCCCAGTTGCTACTCAACACAGTAGAATGTAGAACATAGTGTTTGTGGATTATGTTGTAGTAATTGACCTTAGTGTCACCTGAGACTATGGTCCTGACCCTCCATGCCCAGTGACTCATTCCCTCAAAGTGTTTGGTTATAAATACGAAGTTTTCCTAACTTTGCCCCTTGTATGCTCTGCTATATTCATGGATATATTTGTAGCACATACAAATACATAGAGAGATCCTCTGTCAAACATATATATACATGGGTGTAGTCCCATGCGCCTTCCCACCCCTGTTCAAATTATGAGTGGATGTGTCTTATCTATGTATCCACTCATAGATTTATAGTTACTTTTATTTTTGAAGTGTTTGTTTTCCTTTTTCATCTCTTTACTATGTATGGTTAAGGAAAAGTTAAGAAAAAAGACATGCATCTTTTATATTTTTAGGCCCGGATAGCATTTTTGCAAGGAGAAAGAAAAGGTCAAGAAAACTTGAAGAAGGATTTAGTAAGAAGAATAAAAATGTTAGAATATGCATTAAAACAAGAAAGGTACGTCTGCCTCATTTTCTTACATAAAGCAGACCAATATTACTCTATTGTACAATGTATTTGAAAGATATAAAGCCGTGCTGAAATACAAAATGGTGTTTTGATTTGATTCTTATATGGGAAAAGTAAAGAAGAATAAATAGATTAAAATTGTTGAAGTGAAACAGTATGTTTTATTATGGGATATATATTTTTCTAAGAAGAACAAAAATAATTTATCTTTTTTTGTCACTTGGAATGTATTTGTTAGTGGGCAATTTACCTTTTTTTCTCCCCCTTCTGTTACAGTGGTACATTTTTTTTCTCCAGCCATTTTTGCGAATAAAGGTTTTTTTTTTTTTAAATCTCCATTATGCTTTGTGTATTATTAAAGAAAAATATAATAGTAGACAGTTAACTATGCAGAAAAGCAAAAGACAAAAATTCTTTTAACAATTTGTTGTTAAATTTTCAGGGCAAAATACCACAAATTAAAATATGGCACAGAACTGAATCAAGGAGATTTGAAAATGCCAACTTTTGAATCAGGTAACCTCAATGATTCTTTTTGCTTTTTTTTTTTTTTTTTTTAATTCCAGAAAAATTAGTTTAGTATTCATTTTTATGTAACACACATTTTCTTTGCCCTCATTTTGCTTTGATATATTATTGTAATACTTTCTAGAATTTGTTAGATGATACATTATTGTAATAATTTCTAGAATTTTTTTGGGAAATGTTAATGAATAAAAGTAAGTAATTTGATCTACATTTTCAACCCAGACATTACTTGTCCTATTGTTTTTTTTTTCTACTTGAAAACCTATTTATAAGTGATGTGCATTTTTTTATAGTAATTAGAACTAGAAGACATAAAATATCTGTTTCTACACCTGTGGATGGTTCTTGACCCATCCTACATAAATTTAGTTTTCATTAGTATTAAGTCCTTTTTGTTAGGAAAAACTGATCAGCTCAGTTTAGTTTTAAAGATAATAGAAATTTCACTGGATTTGGAACTACACAGCAGCCAAATAAGGATAAGAGAGAAGGGAAAAATGAATCTTCATTTGGCCTTGCTCTTTCCTAAGCAGGTAGTCATTATGAATAGTGTCTGATGAAAAATTGTACAGAAAGAGGGCTCTGAATATAGAAAAGTTTAGTGTGAGTTTTAGTCCTTCATATGATATAATTTGAAATGTATAAAAGAATCTAATAAATAAGAATGTTATGATTTGTATTGTACAGTATTTGGTAATATTAACTAGTCATGTCTTATTTCTCAGGTATATTTAGAATTCATTTCTAGACACAGTTTGGTTCTTAGGTATTGGTTACTAAGGCAAGAAAAAAGTGTGTTCTTTTCTTCTTTAAATACACAGTTACTATTCTTCCCACATCTAATAAAGTCAAAGCATGTATTACAGGAAAAATCCAAAACCAAAATCACTGCCATCAGGTCAGATCTGACTCATAGCAGCCCTCTTTGGGTTTCCAAGGCAGTATCACTATGGAAGTAGATTGCCCAATCTGACAGGAAAAATAAAACTTTATTGCTTTTTCTTTTTTTAGGAAAGAGGTGTTTTTTAAAAAATATTTAATTGGTTTTTAGTTCAGTAAATATTTAGAACTTGGAAGAAACACACAACAGACTTACAACATGCATATGGGTTATTTTAGAGTCTTTTCCAATTCAATTTTAGCAGCAGAATCTTCTATTATATCTTTCCATTTTCTTCAGCTATAAAATAAAGCAGCCAAGATGGGAGCAACATGGCTTCTTTTTGATTTGGCTTTTCAATGGTTATGTAGACTTACTCTGATGCTAGGAAATAATAATATAGTCTCTTCCTTGGAAAAACAAGAGTATTAAAATTTCCTCAAATTGAGGAATAGTATGAAATGCAAGCATTGTATTTACAGGTGACATAATAATAACATAATTGGTTGTGTTTACGAATATAGAAAAACTGTTCAGGGTGTTTAGTTAATAGAGTCCAAAAGGTTGGGCAAAAAATAGACCATGCAAACAAAATGGAATAAAATTATTTATATTAATTTGGTGGTGCAGTGGTTAAGGCATTTGGCTGCTAATCAAAAGGTTGACAGTTCATACCTACCAGTTGCTCCATGGGAGAAAGATGAGGGAGTCTATTTCTATAAAGATTTATAGCTTGGGAAACTCTGTGGAACAATTCTATTCTGTCTAATAGGGTTGCTGTCAGTCAGAATCGATTCTATGGCAGTGAGTTAATTATTTATTTTTTTTGGTAACATGGAAATAAATATTAAATGAGACAGGTTGTCTATACACCCTTAAAATAAAATGTTAGAAAAGGGGCAAACTACTGATTTGACAGAAGTATAATTTATGCAAGTTTTTATACATCTCTCTTACTAATTCAAAAGATATGTTTTACCTTAAGCCCTAACTTATAAAAGTGGTTCTATCCAAATGGATAAAGAACTGTTATGTACCATATTAAACCAGGTACACCTACCAGAATAGTGAAAATGAAAGAACAGTACTAAGTGTTGAGGATGTAGAACATCCAGGTCTCTTAAACATTGATGTTGGGATTGTAAATTTATAGAGCTGCTCTGAATATGACCTGGGCAGTATCTACTAAAGGGAACATAGCATACATACCCTATAACCTAGTAATTTCACCCCTAGCTATTCCATTTCTAGAAATGCATATATACATTACCTTAAGATATATAAGAATGTTCATAGTGTATCACTCATGATAGTAAAAAAATTGGAAACAGTTGAAATGTCCTTCAACATTAGAGTAGCTCGATATAGTGATCTATTAACATAGTATTCCATTTAGGAACGTAGGTGAACAAACTACAACCAAGCCCACCATCATGGATAGATCACGTTAAATTGAAAATTGATATAAATATTCCCGTTTATACAAAATTCAAAAATTAATTTAGTTTTTAGAAATCAGGATATTGTTTATACCCTTTTGGGAATGGCTAGTGAATGCAAGGGGACAAAGGAAAGCTTTTCAGAGTGCTGATAATGTTCTGTTTGTTTCATCATCTAGTTATTGGTTACTTTGATGTTTTCAAAACATCATTAGGCTGTACACTTGTGATGTAGTTCAAGAATGTCTTTAGCAGCATTATTTATAATAGTGAAAAATTAGAAACCAGTTTTAGCATTAGGGGACTGGTTAAATAGGTACATACTTCCTACGGAATATTATATAATTGTTTCATATGATGTTAAGCCATGTTTATGGCCATAGAGATAATGTTCAAGGTGCATTAAGTGTCATAGCAACTTATAGTGCAGTATATACATTGGACTCTTTAGAAAGAAATATGTAGGCAGTCCCTGGGTTCCACACATCCCTATATACAACCGATAGTTGTAAACCAACCCCCAAAAAGGCTGTTACATTAAAAATTTGAGGTATGTACAATGGTTGATAGTAACAAATGAGCACTGCTTTGTGAGACACATCAAAAAATTATTATTACTTTACTATTATGTTAAATATGTTTCAGTGTATCTGGATGCTGTTATGCATAGAAAGGTATACTATATACTAAGAAAAACATTTGACTAACTGACGACAGATTTGAACCATTTCTAACTGTTCCAGCGTATGTACAAATTCAACTTCAAGACATGTTTAGGAATGGAATTTGTTTGTAATCCAGGGACTGTCTGTATTTGCAGAAGGGAAAATGTGGAAGTCCTAACAGTTGTTAACATTTAGTGATAGGTTTTTGGGCAGTTGTGTTTTTTTTTAAAATATATTCTTTATTCTCCAGTAATAATGTGTTTATATGATTAAAAATATACAGAATGTTATAAATTGAAAAATGCTATAAACAGAAAAATAACCTATTAGAAAATTAGAATGAAAATAATTACTTCTAGAAATTAGAAATTCCTGTTTGTGAGAAGAATAAGAATTAATACTGAAATTGTTATGGTTAGACAAATAATGCCTACAGAGGGTAATTGGATTACCACCAATAAATAATTGTTCAAGGGACTTTGAGGAGTCTGTGAGTTTATAAGCCATTCTAAGAGTTCTCAACATTTAGTGTAAGGATTGGCCTTCCATGCCTCTCTCTTTTTTACTGTGTTTATTTTTATGATGAGAGTTTTTTTTTTTTTGAAATAATTTCCATTATATAATTGGTGCCAGTGAATACTTCTAAGTTTCACTCTAGGTTTACTTGAAAGCTGAATTTACCTGAAATTATATCATTTGTTAAACTCTTTAAAAAAAAAAAATGCACTGTTACCTGAGTAAATGTGGCTTTTTACCACAGCAAAGCAGTAGTTTATAAGATGAAAACTATTGTGATCAGGTGTAGTTTTAATGTAAACAGTCTTAAAAATGGTTTTAATATAGTCTCAAAACCACGTGTAATTTTAAAAGTATGCCCTCTTAGATAATTTGGAATGTTTTCTGTTTGACTTGAAATGGTAAAAGGACATAGTGCTTAAGGCATTTGACTGCTAACTAGAAGGCAGCGGTTCAAACCCACTAGGCACTCCTCGGACAGAATATTGGGTGATCTACTTCCGTAGAGATACTGCCTCGAAAACCAAAGGAGGGGTCACTATGAGTCTAATCGACTCGTGGGTGAGAGTAAGAGAGAAAGTCTTGTGATAAGTCCTAGTGATTTACTATTTTTTATATATACCTAATACCTTATGTAAATATAGCCTTTTAATTTGATAGGCATTAAAACTCAGTAGAATTCTGGTAATTAAAAAAAGTTATTTTTAATAACATCTCATTCAAAACTTGAGCCTTTGATTTTTGAATCTTTGGCAGTAATACTTTGGTTTTGTCAGTTTGGTTCCTAGACTATTAGGTTTGGGGGAGAAATACATTTTAAATGAGTGACTCACAGTACCTACTTAATAAAAGTTAATTTTCTTTTGTCCATTATAAAATATTTAGATATATTTTTATGGCAGCTTATCCCTAAGAGAAGTTTGGCAATATTTTCAAGAGTTGAACTAATGGGTGTGAAACTTTTTTTTTTTAAAAAACATTTTTAGAAGAAACCAAAGACACAGAGGCTCCCACAGTACCTCAGAATAGCCAGCTAACGTGGAAGCAAGGCAGACAGCTGTTACGACAGTGAGTAATAGTTTTATTTTCAGCTTTCTTTAAGGATCTACATATGAAAGTAGTTATATTTAGTCACTTTGCAAATATAAAAATTAGTTTTAAATTGTAATGGAACAATTTATATTTTTTTATTTTCCTTCTTGGATTGTTTAAAGTTTGTTTCTTCCATTTCAAGTTGATGTCATTTTCTTATTTGTAGAGTAGAATGTCCAAAAGACTTGATGACTTGAAGGCCAGAACAAAATTAATATAGAATTCATACTTCTAGATGACTCTATCCCTGTCACTTCCATAGTCTCACATACAGGTTTCTTTTAAGGGTATGTGTGACTGACTTAGAGAAGAATTTTAACAGATTATCTCAAGCTTTTCAGAAGTAGTTTGTCATAATCTTCTTTTCATTGAGTTTTGGTTTTAATTGTGGTACAATAGAACAAAATACGCCATTTTTAACTATTTTTAATTGTGCAATTCAGTGACATTAGTTAATTAGTTGAGTGTGTTTGTGAAAATACACACAACAAAATATAAACCTGATCAACATCTTCAGTTCAGTGACACAGGTTACATGCTTCACATTGTGTCACTGTGGTCACTATCTCTACCCCATATTGTTTTACTACCATTAACTTAGACTTTGCCCCTTAAAATTTTCATCTATGCCTTAGGGTTCTTATTATCTATGAGATAGATACAGATGATTTTCATATAGATAATTCTTTAAAAAATGCAGTGCTCAAGGCAAATGTTCTTTATTAATTGAGATAAACTGTTGTTTAGTTTAAAAATGACTTTTTGGTATAGTTTTGGTTCAAGTTTTAAAATTACTTGCAGGCAATAGATTTTGGGGTTCATTCAGTCTCACTAGATCAATATGTCTGGTTTCCATGAGCATTTAAGCTAATGCAAGTTTTTGAGAAACCTTTTTAAGTTTGAATTCTTTGCTGTGTTGGAAGTACTTATGTGGCAAATCTTGTTTGTCTTTTATTTGTTCTTCTCTTTTGTATATTGAAAAATTTGGTACTTGTGTCCTGCTGATATCCAGAGTAATTTACAATTATTCAACCTTCTTAACTTTATACAACTTCAGTAACCCCACGAAATGTGATAATGCCCTGGACCTTACAATTATCTAGAACTACTATATCTCTGAACTATTCCATAATTGGACAATCTCATATTCTACCTCTCTCTGGTCCAGTTTCCCACGTTATTTGCCCTCTGACCATACCTTTATCTTTAGACCTTGGACTATTTCATTTTCCTCCTTGCCTACTCTTATCTGTGGTTTATTTTATTTTGTTTTCTCTAGCTCCAGTTTAGACCTCATGCTAGCTCCATCACTCTTTTGCTAATACCTTGGGCTTTCTTGCTGCCTACTTTTCATCCCCCATCAAACCCCAGTCATTCTACTGTACCTACCTACAAAACTCCAGCCCTACTTTAATCTTATTTTCTGCTCCTTCTATTTCTAATTAATTCTTAAATCACAGAATGATGTCCTTGCCATTACATATTCATGGTTTCCTGTCTAAACATTGCAGACAGCCATTTTCCATAGCCCTGATCACATCCCATTCCTATTGCTCTCAGAAGATAGTCTAACACACTTAGCCCATTCCCCTTTACTTAAAAACATAAAGGCTATCAGGTGAGAGCTCCCTGAATTTATGCTTTCCTTTCTGTAAATGTATTTAAACTTCATATCCTTTAAGTCAGTTTCTAATGTTCCATTAAAAGAGATCATTAGCAGTCTGAACTTAAAGCTGTAGCAAGAGCAGATTATTGATGGGAAGGATGCTGGGGTAGCTAGCAGAATTGAGGGAAGTGCTGAACAACTAAGCATTAGGAAGGCTAGAGTAGCTCTGAGGCCATCTCAGGGATTGGAAACACCCAAGATACATTCTGTTTTCTGGTTTTATAGTTCCTTTTTTATTAGCTTATACTTTTCTATCAGTTTTCTCCATATGGCAGGGGACTCATTTTTTTTTTTATTGTGATAAAAGTGTATATATAACATTTGCCATTTCATTTGTTTTCGTGTGCAATTGAGTGACATTAATTAATTACATTCATCATGTTCTGCAACCATCACCATCCATATTTTTTCATCAGCCATAACAGAATCTCAATACCTCTTAAGTAGTGACTCCCTATTTCTCCTTCGCACCCACCCCTGTAATCACTAATAAACTTTTCAGAGAACTCCCTGTTTTAATTAGAACAATTTCAAACAAGTATTTTGCTAACTTGATCATATGACTGTTTATGAGTAGATCATTTTTTATCTGGGTTGTTAAAGACCTTGACCTCTCATTCAGACCACATTAGACCATGTCAAATATTCCTCCAAAAGAAGATTGCATTTTCTAAAAGAAGAGTGAAGACAACTGTAGAGAAATCAGCTAAGCAGTATTTCTTCAATAAATGTCTAATCCCATCATTTTATTCCTCTATGACTTTATGCTGAGCTTATTTAAAAAAATAGTTTGTCCCCATACATTTTCCTCTTGTTCTTTTCTCACTCATCTGGCCTGTTTTCTGTTTTGGTGTTTCTCTAAAAGCTACTGTCACAAACATATTCAAGAGACTTTTTTGGTTCATATTTGCTTTCTTGGAAACATTTGACATTAACTGTTCATTCCTTTGAAACACTTTGTTTTTTCTTTTTTTTAAAAAAAAAACACTTCCATCACACCATTCTTTGCTATTATTTTTTTCCTCCAATTTCTTAAATATTGTTATTTTTCCCTTGTGTTTCCCTTATTCTAGCCTTTAAGATGTTATGTCCCCAAGCTTTCTGTTGTTTTATATACTTTTTCTCTGGGGTAATTCATATAAATCCATGGCTTCAAATAACCACCAAACACTAATCTCTATAGCCCAAATCACTGTAGCAGTCCAGTCTCTTGTCAGCTTTTGACCTTTCTTACAAGTGCCTGTTGTCATTTGGTTGTTTTATAGACAACCATATAGTTGCCTAATAGAGCCAAACCAATCCCTTTGCCGTTGGGTCGATTCTGACTCATAGCAACCCTATAGGACAGAATAGAGCTCCCCTATAGGGTTTCCAAGGCTCTAAATCTTTAGGGAAGCATATTGTTACACCTTTTTCCTGTGGAGCAGCACGTGGGTTTAAACCACTGACCTTTTGGTTAGCAGCCAAGCATTTTACCACTGTGCCTCCTGGGTTCCTTGATTGTCTGATAGGTACCTATAAACTTGATTCTGACTTTTGACTCACCATTTCATTGAATGGCACCACCATCCAGCCATACAGGCTGTTCTAATTGCTAGGCCATCAAGTTGATTTTCACTCATAGTGACCCTGTGTACAACAGAGCAAAACACTGTCCAGTCCTGTGCCATCCTCACAGTTGTTGCTGTGCTTGAGCCCATTGTTATAGACACTGTCTCTCTCCATCTCATTGAGGGTCTTCCTCTTTTTGCTGATCTCTACTTTACCAAACATGATATCCTTCTCCAGGGACTAGTCTTGCCTTCCTCGCTTCTGAGGAACATTCTGGCTGTACTTCTCCCAAGACAAATTTGTTTATTCTTCTGGCAGTCCATGTACCATATTCAGTATTCTTTTTCAACACCATAATTCAGATGAAGCAATTCTTCATTCTGCCTTATTCATTGTCCAGCTTTTGTATGCATATGAGACAACTGAAAATACCATGACTTGGGTTAGGTGCACCCTAGTCTTCAAAGTGACATCTTTGCTCTTTAACACTTTAAAGAGGTCTTTTGCAGCACATTTACCCAGTGCAATATGTTATTTGATTTCTTGGCTGCTGCTTCCATGGGCTTGATTGTGGATCCTTGGCAACTTCAGTCTTTTCTCCCTTCGTCATGATGTTGCATATTGGTTCAGTTGTGAGGATTTTTGTTTTATGTTGAGGTGTGATCCACACTGAAAACTGTAGTCTTTGATCTTCATCAAAAAATACTTCAAGTCTTCTTCACGTTCAGCAAGCCAAAGTAGTGTCATCTTCATATCACAGGTTGTTAATGAGTCTTTTCCAATCCTAATGCCACATTCTTCTTCTTATAAACTAGTTTTTCAGATTATTTGCTCAGCATACAGATTGAATAAGTATGGTGAAAGGATACAACCCTGATGTACACCTTTCCTGAATGAAATCTCACAGTATCTGCTTGTTCTGTTTGAATGACTGTCTCCTGGTATGTGTGGGTTCCTCATGAGTACAATTCAAGAGTTCTGAAATTCCCATCTAAGCTAGAAACCTGGAAATTGTCTAAAATTCTTGCATCTTTTCTCATTCTACTGCCACATTAATTTTTTCACCGTATCCCAAATAATATACCTTACTGATTTTTCTCCCATTTGTCTCCTTTTTTCATTCTTGTTCTTACTGTGTTAGTTTCCTAACTGATCTCCCTTGTCATCAGATGTCTCAATTTACTAGTGCTGCCATAACAAAAAATACCAGAACTGAGTGACTTTAAAGAACAGAAATTTATTTACTAACCCTTTTGGAGGCTAGAAGTCTAAATTCAGGGCATCAGCCCTAGGGAAAGGCTCTTCTTTGTCTATTTTAGCTTCTAATAGCTGCTAGCGATCCTTGACTTTTCTAGGCTTGTAAA